GGGCCGCTGGCCTGCGCGGCCCAAGGGAGCGAGGCCGCCCGGCGGCGCGGCGGGATGCGTCCTGCGCCGGGCTCGGCCTCGTCCCGCGGCGCTCTGGCGCAAGGGCTCCGGCTGGGCTCTGGCGGGCGGTGGCTGTCCGCAGAGGCCCGCCGTGCCAGGCGGGGGCGTGCCGTCGGCGCCGGACGCGACGTCGGGGGATGGAAGAGCAGCCTCGCCAGCCGCTCGGCGACGATCTCGGCGCGGACCTCCGCGTACGAGCGGGCGCATGAAGCTGGGGGCCCAGCCTTGCGCACCGTCTCGCTGCCGTGCGCGGGCCTCGCCGAGGTGGCGCGTGCGCGGCGTCGCGGCGGCGGGGCCGCTCCAGCCAGGTGCCGACGGAGTTCTGACGGCGATGTTGCCCGCTGTGCTGGCGTCGTCACTCGGCCCCTTCCCGCCACTGTGAAGTGCGCGCCTCCCGGAGAGAGCGGCCACCCGCTGGCGCCCCTGGAGTAGCGAGAGGCCATCGACGGCGGCTGAGACCGCGGTCGTGGGGCGCTGCTGCTGGTGGAGCAAATCTGGAGGCCCGAGCTGGCTTGAGTCTCCTCGGGCTGGGTGATGTTCGTGCTGCCGGTTGGCCGCGGGTGTTGTGCGGTAGGGGGCGCCCGCGAAGCCGGAAATGTCCGAGGCGCGCGAGGCGCGCCCCAGGGTGTCGACCTCCGCCTTGAACGCAGCGCGGAAGCAACGTGCAAATACGTAGACCCCGCAGATGCGGATAAGACTGATGGGGGCGGTGGGGACGTCGGTAGTTTGCGAGGCTCTGGAGAAGCCCGCCGCAAGCGCCAAAGTTTCATTACTTATACAACGAGCCCGCCGCAGGCGCCGATTTTTTCGTGAAACCAATGTGGGTAGGTCGCGGGTGGGTCGCAAATGGGTCGTTGTTGGGCCGCGGGTGTAGAGGGCAGAAAATCCACCCCAGAATAATCACACCGACAAGCGAAGCCGTTTAGTAAACGCACACAAGGAATGAATCGAACGGGGCGGGGCTGTTTAGTCAACGCCCAGGGCCGTTTAGTAAACGTCAATTGTCGGGTGCAGGTGGTTTTTCCTCCCTTGAGGGTGGGTCGCGGGGTGGGTCGCGGGTGGGACGCGGGGTGGGTCGCGGGCGGGTCGCGGATGGGTCGCGGATGGGTCGCGTGGGTGGGTCGCGGGTGGGTCGCGGGTTGGTCGCGGGTGGGTCGCGGGTGGGTCGCGGGGTGGGTCGCGGGTGGGTCGCGGGTTGGGTCGCCGGTGGGTCGCGGGGTGGGTGGCGGGGTGGGTCGCGGGTTGGGTCGCGGGGTGGGTCGCGGGTGGGATGGCGACAGCAAACAACAACAGCAACAGCAACAACAACAATAATTACAACACCACCAACAACACCAATAACAACAATCAGTTTAAGACTGTTCGCTCTTATCTGCTCGCGTGTCATTCAATATGCATATCCCAAACCCTGGATACCCGCCCTCTTCGACTTCGATCGTGCCCTCCTTTGGGGGGTACCTTCATTCCCTGTCACGTGTAGTTGGTGAAGCCCATGAAAACGAGGGGTAACAGATAACGGGGGAGAATGAGGACGAAAGAATCGGAGGAAGGGAAGGGAGGGCAAGAAGGAGGGAGTACGATGATTTGCGCTGTGAGTGGCGATTCAGCTTGCGCCATGGCTTGCGCAAGCCACTCCAACGCAGGTTAGCAATACGTTTCGCCATGGGTCGCGCCATAAACAGCGCCACGTACCACCCCCTTGAAAAAAACATTTCGTGGATACCCACACAGGGGGACGTACAGCTGCGAACTGAGCCACGAAGGGCGACAGCGGGGCCACGAAGGGCATGCATACGGGGCCACGACGGGCGCGAACGAGTAGGGGCCACGAAGGGTATCCATATATGGGGTCCCAAAGGGCGACAGCGTGACCACTGAGGGCAGCAAAGGGGCCACGAAGGGCAGCGAGAGGGCCACGAAGGGCGACAGCGGGGCTACGAAGGGCATGCGTATGGGGCCACGGCGGGCGACTGCGAGCGTGGGCCACCAAGGGCATATCATGCGGGGCCATAATGGGCAGCGACGGGGCCACTGAGGGCAGCAACGGGGCCACGAAGGGCAGCGAGCGAAGGCGACCGCGGAACCAGTACGGGCAGCGAGGGGCATCGAAGGCGGGCGAAGGGCAGCGAGCGGCGACTGCAGTCCCTAACGGGCTGGTCGGGCGGGCAGGCCCAGACGGGCGGGTCGAGCGGGCGGATCGTTGAAGCGTAAATTCTGCTTGAACCGCCAAGCAATATGTAGCGGGAGCGCGATTCCTTAGTGTCGAGGAACGGCGTCTGCAAAAATTGTAAGGAAATATCAGGCGGGAGCCGCGATTCGGCGGTAAGTTGCGAGGAAGTTCCAAGCGAGAGCGCGATTCTCCAATAGATTGTGAGGAAGTATCAAGCGGGAGCCGCGATCCGGTCGTAAATTGCAAGGACGCTCCAAGCGAGAGCACGGTTCTGCAATAAATTGAAGAACTATCAAGCGGGAGCCGTTGTTATTGTAAACCGGGGGCCAACAACGCAGTTTGAGCCTCAATACTTTCCTTGATTAAAAAACAGGGTGCGAGCCCCGGGAAGGGCACTTCAATAAAAAAATGTGCACCGAACGGAGGGGGGTCAACAATAGATATTCTTCAGAAGTGAGACTTCAACAACAACAACAACAACAACAACAGCAACAACAACAACAACAACAACAGCAGCAGCAGCAGCAGCAACAACAACAACAACAACAACAACAACAACAACAACAACAACAACAACAACAACAACAACAACAACAACAACAACAACAACAACGCAACAAGCATAATTCTCACCACGAATTCCTTATTCAGCCACGCACCCATGGACAATGAATGACCGTTCGGCCCCCTCACTCTGGCAACCCGTGTCAGCAGACTGCGCCCTGAATGCGGTTGCGGGGACTCGTGTGTGGCGACCGGGCCGAGGAACACAAGGACAAAGACCAAAACGGCAATCGGCGGAAGGAGCCAGATCTCGGAGCCGAAAACAGCTATGGTAGTGTCGGGTGTCGTCGCGCGCGTGTGCGTGAGTGCAGCCGAAGAGACACGGACCGGTGCCCCTCGCCGGCAGAAGCGGCATGCGGTCTGCCATGTCCCACCACCCCGCGAGTCTCGAGTGCGGCCCACTGCCGCGCTGGGGAGGTGGACGAACGAGTCTTCTTGTGAATAGCCCAGCGCTTGGCGGGATCACTGTAAACCGTCGTGCGATAGTATGACCCAAGTTGTCAGGGTACGTCTTGTCGGAGATGGCCACAATCTGTGGCGTCTGGACTTGAACTTTGGCGTGCCGTCCAACGCCCGACATTGCCGCGCGCGCAGCGCGCGCGGCGGGACTGCGGCAATGCCGCGAGCTAGCGTTGCCCAGTCCGCTACACGATGGCTACCGGGTCCAGGAAGGAAAGAGGGAGCTCACCCGGCAGGAGGCGAAGGCAAGGAAACGAGCTGCTGCTGGTGATGCTCCACTCCCTGTGCTCGGACCTCGATTGCACAGACCCTGGCCTCCACGAGGCCCTGGATCTGAGCAGGTCCCGAGGAAAGAGTGGCGTCGACGCTCGAGACCGCAGCGCTGGCGACGGCGGATGTGGTGGCGGCCTGCTCCTGCTGAAGGGTGGCGGCGTGCGAGCTGGCGGCAGCATTCGCCCCGCCTCCACCTCCAGCCCCGAGGCCTGCAGCGGCGGGGGGCGCCCCAGGAGCAGGACCAGTCGCAGCGCGGCGAGCATCATGATCTCGCCATCGCTCGGACGTCCATTCCCTGTGTTTTTTTCGGTTTCGTTGTGGTTTTTTCGCCAAATGATCAAGGATGCTCCTCGATGGTCCTCGCCAGAGGAAAAATGCACGCGTCCGAGCGATGCCAGGGCCTTGGCATGCGCGGGCGGGTGGCCACGCGCGGGACCCAGCGGGGCACCGCCGGCGTCGAGGCATGCCCGCCGCGGGCCGCCGCCAGCAGTGTGGCTGCGGGGGACGAGCCCGGGCCGTCGGCAGCGGAAGCCCCCGACTAACCAGCCTCGAACGTATCCCTATCCCTAAGATTCCTAAGATTGACACGCCTAAAGGCGATGACAATCTGAGTTATTCGCCCTCAAAAGATCAGGGAAAAATAAGGGAATCCTGAGATTGTCATCGTGATGAGGAAATGCCCAGCATAGGGACGGGGATAGGTTCCAGGCTGGTAACCGACGCCTCGCCAGGGGTGGCGGCCCCGCCCACTGGCGTCGAGGGGGCCCTCTGCCCCCTGCGTCGGGAGCGTGGGGAGCAGGTCGAGGTCGACGCCGCCGCGCCCCATCCGGAGGGCGGCGCCTGCCGCGCGATGGCGGAGCTGCGAGGCCGAGCGGGAGGAGCAGTTGGCCTCCCGCCTCGCCAGGTGACCACGGCGCCCATCAGCGCGGCCCGCACGAGCAGCATCACAGTGGCGTCTTCCGCGCCGTTCTTGGCCTCCTGCAGCCGAAGGGCGCGGGCTCGACGACCAGGCTCCCGCGAGCGGTCCGATCGGCGCCTGCTCTCCGGTGACGTGGACCGTCTGGAGCTGCTGCTGCGGGGGCTGCCGTCGGAGTCGATGCGGTGCTGCTCAGGCCGCCCATCGCCAGTGCGCCCATCACCGTCTGCAGCAGCAGCAGCAGCAGCAGCAGCAGCCCGCGCAGGGCCCATCTGAGCACAGACGCGCGCAGGAGCTGGAAAGGCCTCAGCGCACCCACGGGGGTCTGTGCTGGAGCGAGGGACGAGTCTATGCTCCTGCAGGAGCTCACAGCAGTCTCCTACCCTGGCCTCGGACTAGGGTTATCCGCTCTCTGCCCGAGGGACAGAGACATCTTGAGCCAAAATGGCTACGGGGGAGGAGGAGGAGGAGGAGGAGGAGGAGGAGGAGGAGGAGGAGGAGGAGGAGGAGGACGACGACGACGGGGGGACGGATGGACAGAAGGAGCACCACCTCGACCAGTCGGCGACGGCGGCAAGGCCGAGCGCCAGGACCGCGAGAGCCACCTGCAGCGCGCCCTTCTGCTCGCCGCCCGCTGGCGCGCCCGGCGACGGTCCTCGGCGGCCCCGCCGCCCCTCGACGGCTGAACGCTCGGGGCGCTCGGCGGCGCGGCGGATCTCGGCCCGCGGCGGCTCGGCGGCGGATCTCGGCGGCGGGGGCCCGAGCACTTCGTCGACGTCGTCCCGCGAAATGCCCCCCCCTCTGGCCCGGACGGCCCTGCCCCTGGCCCGGTTCGGCGACCGCCCGATCTGCTTCTCACCAGCTGGGCCTGCAGGCACCTCCCCTGCGGCTCATACCCAGCGCACATCACACTGCCAGCTTCCGGCAGCGACGACGACGACCGACCGACCGACCGACCACGGCGACGACGACCGACCACGGCGATGACGACGAGGCCGAGTCCTTCCGAGGCCCTTGCGCCAGGGGTCAGCGGAGCGCCGTCGCCCTCGACATCGCCCGAGCGAGGTCGTGCCGATGCCGAGTCGGCCAGCAGCGCCCCCGTGCTCTTGACGGTTTTCGCGGACTTCACGGGCCCCACTGCGTTCGAGCCCAGCGAGCTCCTCGACGTCGTCGTCGTTGCCGTGGTCAGTCGTCATCGTCGTCGTCGTCGTCGTCGTCGTCGCCGTCGCCGTCGCCGTCGCCTTCGCCGTCGCCATCGACATCGCCGTCGCCGTCGCCGTCGCCGTCGTCGTCATCGCCGTCGCCGTCGCTCGCCGTCGTCGTGCCTCGAACCCCTCGCCGAGGAAGCTCATCGACCAGTCGCTCGCCCAACGTCTTAAAGACATCAAGACGTAAATGTTTCACAACCTACTACGTCTGCAAACAATGTTCGCATGTCGGGGTCGTCGAGCGATCCAGTTTGAAACCCGTTTCCCCATAGAGTGTCGAGACTTGTTGCGGCATCGGAGGCATGGGACTGCAAAGGCTATTGTTGGGCGCCTCTCCTGGCTATCTGGAGGCTCTCTTGGCAGCTTTGGTTCTGGTCTGTCTGGGGGCTCTCTTAGGCAGTATGATGCCGAAAGGGCACCGCAACATACATCTAACAATATAAAGGGTTCTGAGTCCCACCAGCCAGCGCCTGGGCGTGGGTGGTTTAACAAGTTTTGTCCTCTCTCTGTCAACATCCCTCGTTCCCCCGCACGGGGGAGGGATGTATCACTGCTCCCTATGAATATAAAACCTCTCTCCCAAGTGAATGGCGGCCAACCAAGTACACTCCCACCCCTGGACCATTCCTGTAAGGAAGACAATACAAACCGCACTCTGCCTCCACATTTGGAGCATGCGTGGCAAACCCGATGCGCCCCTCCCCTCATGCGAAGTACACTTTGGGGCAAAGTCTTGAGTCATGTTCGTGAGGCCCGCGAGCACTTTGCATTGTTTTTGACAGGGACGGCGGGAGTGTCAGCATATCCCACCAGCTCTCTGGGCGCAGGTGGTCTAACGATATCTTTCTTTCTCCTTCGGGGAGCTTTTCGGCGGCGGTCGCGTTTCGTGGGGAGGGGGGCCCTTTTTCGGCCCCTGGGAGGGCCAATTTTTGACACCTCTCACGAGGATCGTGGCCCCCCCGAGGGGGGGCCTCGATTCGGAGCTTTCCTCCTTTGATCGATAGCCTCAAGGGCTCCCAAGAGAGTCCCAAAAGAGCCCCAAGAGGGGTCCAAGAGGGTCCCAAGATTGCCCCAAGAGGCACCCGAGAGGCCCTCAAGAGGCACCCGAGATGCCCCCAAGAGGCCCCCGAGCGGCCTCAGAGAGCCCAAGATGACCTCCAAGATGGCTCTGGTAGCCCGAGCTGGCTCAAGATGGCTCCCAAGATGCTCCAAACGGCCCCAAGACCGCTCCAAGAGCGCCCAAGAGCGCTCCAAGAGAGCCCAAAGAAGCCGGTTGCCGGCTCCTGATGGGGGAGCTGAGTTGGGGACCCCCCCATCCTGTGATCGATGGCCTCCAAGATGATCCCAAGAAGCCTTCCAGGGTTACCAAGAGGGTTCCAAGAGGGCCCCTCAAACTCCCAGAAAGCACCAGCAGCAGCAGCAGCAGCCTAGTCCCCACCTCGTCCTCATCCGCGTCTTCGTCCTCCTATTGCTCCTCGTCTTCATCCTCCTCCTGCTCCTCCTCCTCTTCCTCCTCCACCTCTTCCCCTCGCCCCACGCGGCCCCCAGGGATGGCCCGAAGAGGCCTTCCAAGGCCACCCCCTTGTTCCCAGAGATCTCTCGGTTCACCCTGGTTGCTCGCTTTGTTTCCCTAGATGTGTCTCTTCGTCCCTTTCCCGTCAGCTCACATGGGAAGGGCTTCTGAAGTGGTTTGTGGGGATACTTTTCCGTCGCAACCGCAGGCGAAGGCGCCAGAGGCGAGTCGAGTCAGCTCGGGCTACGAGCGGAACTAATTGCCGGCGCGCGCGGAGCTAAGCAGGACCTACCGCCGGGGGAAGCGGCTGCGCCGAAGCTGTGCTGCAGCGACGAGGGTGGGGAGTGCAAGCTGCCCCAGCCAGGAAGCTGCAAACGTGCGAATACCATGGGAGCTGAATCGCCAGGTATGCGAATTGCTGGTGGGGATACTTTTTCGGTCGCGTCCACCAGCGAAGGCGCAGGCGGAGTCAGAACTGCACCGGGACACGGTAGCGGCCTAATTAGCTACTAAACGCGCTGCAGGCCGGCCGGCCCACTCACCAAGCAACGGCACGCTGCGCGGGAGAGCTGGCAAGCTGAGGGCGTCCAGGGAAGCACAGGCACATGCAGCCCAGCAAAATGCTGGGGAATTAGAGGTGTGCCGTGAGGCAAGGCCCGCTCGAAGTGCGAGGACGAGTGCGGCGAAGACTGCGTGTCCAACATGCCCGTTGGGCGTCCAGGGGAAGTAAGCGATGGGCGAATCGCCAATGGGGCGCCAAGCCCAGGTCGCGCCAACGGCGTCTGCGAGCCCAGTGAGCTGTGCTGCCGAGGAACGTCGCGAACCAGCCTGGAAGGCTGGTGGGGATACGCGAAGCGTGAAGAATTGCCTGCTGTGCGCAGGGCTACCACCCCTAACAACAAAACAAGACAACATGCACCTCGCGGCTAAAACTGGATATTGCGCAGCCACCCCGCGATCGCTGGCAAGTGTTTTTGACATGGACGGCGGGGGTGGTGGCGTATGGCCTGCTGTGCGCAGGCCCACCAGACACAACGAGGGGCATTGGTTTTCGACAAGGATGGCGGGGGCAGAAATGTTTCCCGATGTGCGCTGCCACGTGCGCAGGCGCACCTGACGCACTCTGCACGTGCCCCGAACGTGGCGCACCTGGCGCGGCTGGGGTGTGCGGCACACCTGGCGTCTGGGGTGGGGTGTACCTGGCGCGGCTGGGGTGTGCGGCTGGGGTGTGCGGCACACCTGGCGCGGCTGGGGTGTGCGGCTGGGGTGTACTCGGAGCACGTGGCGCATCTGGCGCACCAGGCGTGCCTGGCACGATCGGGCCCCAGGGGTGCCTGGCGCGCGTTGCGCCCCTGGCACGCGTGGCGCCCCTCGCCCCAGCGTCGCGCACCTGGGGTCGGCTTTGGTTCGCAGTAGCTGTCCAGCCAAGGACGCCCGCTGAACGTGCTCAGGCAGGGGTGATACTTATGTGTTGGGAAGGCGGGTGGAGGTGAACTAAACGGCTTGTGGGCGGGTGAGTAGCTTGATCACTCCCCCCACCCACTCCCATGGGCCTGGGAAGGGGGGGGGCCGCGAGGCGCTATAGCCCCGAAGGTGGCCCAGGATGGCGCCAAGAGGGCCTCATATGGCCCAAGATGGTCCAAGATGCTCCAGCATGGCTCCAGGTAGCTTCCGACATACCTCCAAGCGCTCCAAAACCTCCAAGACTTTTCCAAGAGCCCCCCGAGCCCTCCCAAGGACCCCCCCAATAGGCCGAAATGGCTCCCAAACTCGGGGAAAATCAATGGTGTTGTTGCTGTCTCGCCCCTTCGCTTCCGACTCGCCTCGAAAGGCCCAAGATGGCTCCAAAACGGCCCAAGAGAACCCCAAAAGGAGCCCAAGAGGGCCCCAAGAGGAAGAGCGCCCAAGACCGCCCCAAAAACGCCCCAAGGGGGCACCAAGGCCGCATGGTTGAGCCTCCCAAGCGGGGGGGGGCCTGAGTTGAGGGCCGCTCTCGTTTTGAGCTCCCAGGGCCACGCCAAGGGACCTCTGAAACCCGCCCAAGAGACCCAAAGAGGGCCTCAAGATAAAAGAGCCCCAAGAGGACCCGAAAAGGACCCCAAGAGGACCCCAAGAGCGTCCCGAGATGGCTCCAAGAGACTCCCGAGAAGCTCTCACAACAATAACACCCTCACTCGCCTGGCGAACTGTTTCGAATAAAGGGCCTCAGGAGACCCCGGGGTGGCCTCCAAGATGGCTCAACATAGCTCAATATGGGTCAAGATAGCCTCCCGCATGATCGTCTTAACTCGCGTGGGTATTGATTTTGGATGGGTTGGTGGGGACATTTTTGGGGGGGTCCGCGGGCGCGCGAAACGAGTCGGACGCCGAGCAAAGAGGGCAGCGCTTACAACCTGCAAAGGAAAAAACAAGTCGAGAGCAAAGCCCGGCGTGGGGCGACGCACTCAGTGCGGCACGAAGATGAGGAACACAACGGGCGGAGGAGGTAGTGCAGAGGTACCGCCCAGCCCGCGAAGTGCCTGCGAAGAGCGCGACGAAGGCGAGGGGCACATAGTCCGGGAGCAAGAGCAAACCTTGCCGAACAGGCTGAAATTGACGCTTGGACGAGCACCACGAGCGAAAAGGAAACGCAGCCAAAATGGCGCGAGAGAAACGAAGCCCCCCAGCGGCCGAATTGTGCAGGTAGCGCAGGTAGACGAGCCACTAGCCGACCATGTAGGGCACCGCGGCCGAAGCCACTCGTGAAGAGCAGGTCATCCGAGAAGACGCGCACGGCACATGCCCAGGGGCTGGGTAGACAGGAGCAAAATTTGCCGTACAGGTAGGGCACCACGCCAACCGACATGACCAGCTGACTAGCGCCGAACGCCCCGCGCGCACGATGCTGGAGACTGAGGGTGACCTGCACGAAAGGGTCGTGCAAGAAAACGCCGCCCATCAGGTAGCCCGAGGGGGGAGCAGCGGGTGGCTATGATGATGTCGGCGCCCGCAAGTGCATGCCAGGAAGACAGCGCCGCCTTGGGCGAAGGGGGCCACTGGCAAAGACGGGGCACGTTCGTCCGAGCCCAACCAACGTGAATCCTCGCGGCCATCACGTGAAAGGACGGACGACAAACGACGCCCCGAGGGAGCCCGCACCAGCCGGACTTGATTCCCAAAAGGTTCATATGCAGCTGATCGCTGCAAACACACAAAGCCTCGGCAGATGAATACCAAAGGTGGAGCCGGCAGCTGATCACTGCAACGAAATGGAGGACCTCGGCAGAAGTATACCCAGGGTAGAACTGGCAGCCGCTCGCTGCAAAAAACACGGTGGACCTACGCAAATGTATACCCAAGGTGATGCCCCGTCGCGGCGGGCTGTCTTTGAGGAAGTGACTGCAGGAGTTCCCCGTGAACCCTTGCGGCCATCACGCGGAGGAAAGGACGACAGACGATG